CAGCTCCCCTGGGCGCCCGGGAGCAGCCGCTGCGGATCGAGCTGCTCCTGCAGCCCCAGTCGCAGGTGCCGCCGCCCAAGGAGTGAGTGTCCCGGCGGGAAGGGGCCGGGAATCCTGCCGGGATCGGCCTCGGGAAGGGGCCGGGATCGGCCTCGGAAGGGGAGCGGGAATCCCGCCGGGATCGGCCTCGGAAAAGGGATGGGATCGGCCTGGGGAAGGGGCTGGGATCGGTCTCGGAAGGGAAGCAGGATTGGCCTCGGGAAGGGGGTGGGATCGGCCTCAGGAAGGGGGCGGGAATCCCTTCGGGATGGGCCTCGGGAAGGGGCTGGGATCAACCTCGGAAAAGGGATGGGATCAGCCTTGGGAATGGAGTGGGATTGGCCTCGGGAAGGGGGCGGGATCAGCCTCGGAAAAGGGACGGGATCAGCCTTGGGAATGGAGTGGAATCGGCCTGGGGAATGGAGCGGGATCAGCCTCGGGATGGGGCCGGGATTGGCCTCGGGAAGGAGGCGGGAATCCCGCCGGGATGGGCGGGAATCCCACTGGGATCCGCCTTGGGAAGGGGGCTCCGGCTTCCCGCCATGACCCCCCCTCCCCGCCCGCAGCATCCTGGCGCACCAGATTCCCCACGGGAAGCGGCAGCGGCGGGAGCGGGAGCGGCGGGAGCGGGGGGTGCTGCCGCGGCGGGAGCAGCGGCTCCGCGAGCGGCTCCGCCGGGAGCCTCCGGAGCCGCCGCGGCCCCACGGCACCGAACCGGGACGCCTGGACCCGCTGCGGGCCTTCTACGACATCTGGGCGGCCGACAGTAAGGAACAGCGGTGGGGGGGACCGGGAACGCGGCCGGGATGGGCGGGAATCGCGGCGGGATGGGCGGGAATCGCGGCGGGATGCGGGATCCCGCTCCGCTCTCCCGCAGACCCCCTGGATCGGCCGCTGGCCGGGCAGGACGCCTGGTTCCTGGAGCAGACCAAGAAGCAGAGGGTCAAGGTGAGCGCGGAGCCGCATTCCAGAGGGCGGGACACGGAGCCGCGTTCCGGAGCGCGGGACACGGCGCCGAGCCGCCATCCCTCCCTTCCCAGCGCCCGGAGAGGCTGCGGAAAAAGCCCTTGGAAGCGCCGGCCGTGGAGGTGATCGCCGCCGGCGGCTCCTACAATCCCGCCTTCGAGGAGCACCAGGTGGGAGCCGGGATGGCGGGAACGCCGGGAATGCCGGGAACGCCGGGCTGAGCGGCTCGGGCGCCGCCGCAGGCGCTGCTGCTCCGGGCGCACGAGGCGGAGCTGCGGAAGCGGAGAGCCGAGGAGCGGCTGGAGAAGCAGCTGAGCATCCCGGCCGGCACCGCGGCCCCCACGGCGGTGAGAGCCCCGCGGAGCCGGGAGCTTCCCGCTGCTCCGGTCGCGTCGCGCTCCCTGCGGAGCCGGGAGCTTCCCGCTGCTCCGGTCGCGTC